CGCCCCGATGCTGCGCGTCCCTGCCCTGCCCTGGCCCTCGCTGGCAGCGGCAACAGCGGTCGTAGAGCCAACCGGAGCCTCCCCCCGAGCGAGGAAAGTGAAGTGGAAACAATGTGAAATTCACCAGCTCTGAAATCAACAAGCTGCCGGCTCCGGTGTTACGGAGCCAGCACCAGCGTCTCCATTTAAAGGGACAGCGCACCCAGTGGAGAGGAAAATAAATAAATGACAGAGGTCTGAGCGCATATGCCACTTGCCAATCCGTACTTGGGAAGACGCGCGAGGTGTGGATGCATTCTTTCTCCACCTCCACGGCCGTCCCCCCATCCCCTTTCTGGGCAGGGTTCGTCAAGCGCTTTCAAAGAGAAAAAAGTCTTCGTCCGTTTGATTTTAAGGGCGGTGTCCTGGGGGAGGACATCTCTGTGCGCGTTTACCTCTCTATCCCAAAAACTCCAATACCTTTAAATAGTAAAGGAAACTGTCTTAAGGAATATGAAACCTGTCTTCTACTCTTTTCCTCTTGGATTGCCAAGATGATAGGATTGAGCGTATCAAAAAAGAGAGTCCACATCTAACCCAGTATTGGCACTCCCACTAACCCCTAGAATATCCCTACCTTTGCCCAAGGTAATGAATGACCTGAATAACAGTTTATCTTAACATATAATGAGTTAATGAGATTCAACCTACTCTAGTATAAAGACAGGGAAACTAAAGTGTGGGTGTGGGAGAGGGGAAACAATGAATTGCCCCAGGTTCCAAGGAATGTTGAATGACAAGATGAAAATTTTCTCATTCAATGGATAAAATTTGAGTACGCACTATTTGCCAGATGGAGTGACAGAATGTGACAGTGATAGCCAAAAGACATGACTCCTACCATGGAGTTAGGCTTACATGACAAGGCAGGTTCAATCTAAGTCATGGTCCTTTAGGCAGAATAGAGTCTCAGGTGTTTTTAGTGTTTATGGGGTCTGTCACTCAAACACTTAGGAGGCCCACTGGCTCTGAGAAACATAGGTTATCTTATCTTCCTCCCTGATTCTCCAAAATCTCTCTTCTCTATCCCACATTCCCTGATTTAAATCAGGCCTTTCTCACTTTCTTACCCGAGTTCTGATGGCCGAGAATGCAAATTGTTTTGTTGGACATGGAAGGAAGTACACGCTCTTCCATGCCTTCCTTGATAAAACGGGAACAATAATTCTTGTCTCACAGGTTGTTTTAAGGATTACATAAGGTAACACAAGCACTTAGTACAAGGACTGACATAATAAGTACTTAGCTATTATCAGCTTCTACTATTGTTATTAATTCTTTCACTTTTCCTCAGTCTAGTAACGACTTGTTGCTATAGTGATCTTTAGAAAACACAGATCTGACCACTGACATCCCCCTGGAATTCTTCTCTTCTTTACTCCCTTTACACCAAAACCAGTTCCTCATCTGCCTTTTTCTTAAAGCTTTCCCAAGACCCTCCCCTCAAGCTGGTGGCAACTTTTCCTTCCTCAGACCCTCCTCTTAGAAGCTTTCATATGATGCTAATGAATTTTGACCTTGCTTCATCGTTGTTTTTTGTTTTGGGTTGTGTGTGTGTGTGTGTGTGTGTGTGTGTTTGAGATAGGGTCTTGCTTTGTAGCCCAGGCCAGAAGCTTTCATATGATGCTAATGATTTTGACCTTGCTTCATCATTGTTTTTTGTTTTGGGTGTGTGTGTGTGTGTGTGTGTGTGTGTGTGTGTTTGAGACAGGGTCTTGCTCTGTAGCCCAGGCCAGACTGCAGCGGCACAGTCGTGGCTCACAGCATCCTCAGCCTCCTGTGCTCAAACAGGCCTCGCATCTAGGTCTCAAAGGGATTACAGGCATGAGCCACCACACCTGACCACTTCATCGTTGTTAATTTAAGTTTTAAACTAAAAGATTATTGGGGAAGAGGACTACATCTTATTCATCTTTGTATTTCCTGCAGCATATGGTCCTACAGAAGGGTCCTCTATGTTGATTGGATCAAGTAGTGAGTGAAGAACTTTGGCATAATGAGTTAATTTCTCTTACTTTTGGTTTCCTTCCCTTTGAAACACACTTCCTCACCCCCTCAGTATGAAAGAGAGAGGATCCATGCCTAGATAAATGCTAGTGGACTGATAAGGAAGTGACTTAAAAGCTCTGGTTTTTACGCCAGGCATGGTGGCTCACGCCTGTAATCCTAACACTTTGGGAGGCCGAGGCGCGT